GGGTAAGAGATCAACCGAAGGACTTGTATGCATGCATATAAGCATAACCAATGGACACAAGACAGGGGGGGGTAGGGGAAGCCAGGGGAATGTCAAGGGGGGAAAAAAAAGGAGACATATGTAATTCTCTTTGTAATACTTTAAGCAATAAAAAAAAGAAGCACAAAAGATGAAAATAAAATAAAATAAAATTTGTTCTTTTTCTTAATTAATTTGGAGAGAGTGGCCAGGGCTTAACAATCATAATTCTCATAAGGCTGATGGTCTTGTTACTAAGATAACCTTAACGTTTGCTCAGCAGGAAGTGGACCCCCAGTGCATTTTATCATTGGCCTAATTCTCTTGGGTCCAATCTTTTCCCAAACTGTGATTTAGGACCTATTTGGGGAAGAAGGGACTGGGAAGAAAGAGAATAAATTAAATTTTTAAAATATCACAGAATTTCATCAATTTGAAGGTAGTATAATTTCATGTTTTAGAGCACTGGCTTTGGAGTCAGACAGATGAGATGAAGTACTTCCTGCATCTTTCATTAGAGATGTTACCTTAGGAAAATTGCAATATTTCCCTAATTTTCAGGGTTTTCCTCATTGGCAGTACCTTACACTTTTAGAATAACTATAGGTGAAATAAAACATGCAAAGCCTTTAGCACAGTCCTTGGCTTAGACCCGTGGTCAGCAAACTGCGGCTTGCGAGCCACATGCGGCTCTTTGGCCCCTTGAGTGTGGCTCTTCCACAAAATACCACAAACTACCACGTGTGGGCATGCACATACAGTGTGATTGAAACTTCATGGCCCATGTGCAGAAGTCAGTATTTTGTGGAAGAGCCACACTCAAGGGGCCAAAGAGCCGCATGTGGCTCGCAAGCCGCAATTTGCCAGCCGCAGTTTGCCGACCACTGGTAGAGTAACCACTTAAATGCCATTTATTATTAACTTACTCTGAGTTATGTGTTGCAAAATTGATTTATTTGAAGAACTCATTATCTTACTCATTTATACTTACAGGATTTTGCTATTTCTTCAGTGGATCAGCAAAGTTTGAGTTTGACCCCAATGTCAGGATGGTGACACACATATTGAAGAGTAACAACTGGTTATGTTAGGTGAGATATGGAAAAGACAGATCCATTCTTAATGAATCTAATAATTTTTCACATAATTTATTATGAGTCAGAATGATTGTTTTTTTTCTGCATGTGCAACGCCAAAGAAGATGAGCCTTGCAGTCATCTTCACACATCATGGGCATTTATCTGGACCACTTCACTTGTTGTTAGATTATATTAAAGGGAAGTGAGAAGTACTCATGTGCAATAGGCAGAGAACTTGCACATCTCCATGGATGTTTTATTTACTGTGTAATAAAGATTTTTATTTTGGTCTGTTCTTTACTTTCTAGAATAATTTATTTTCATATATATATATTATTGATTTTTTACAGAGAGGAAGGGAGAGGGATAGAGAGTTAGAAACATCGATGAGAGAGAAACATTGATCAGCTGCCTCCTGCACACCCCCTACTGGGGATGTGCCTACAACCAAGGTACATGCCCTTGACCGGAATCGAACCTGGGACCCTTCAGTCCACAGGTCGACACTCTATCCACTGAGCCAAACCAGTTAGGGCTAGAATAATTTATTTTCAACAAAATTACCACACTGTGGACTGATCCTTGAACAGATGTTCTGCTAGTAAGTGTAGTAGGAACACACACTCGCTATCACATACCCTTTCCCCTTCCCTCTACCAACAGGATCTTTATTGTTACCTTCCAGATATTGTAAGCATCCCTTACACATCTAAGGAGGAAAAACCTTAGTCAATAGTTGTCCCGTAGTACTGATTCTGGACAAAATAGAGAAATGGAATTCTAGAATATTTGATTTTAGAAACTTCACAAATCATGTAGTCCAGGTCATCTTTACAGATGAGAAAACAGAAATAGCTTGGAATTTAGCCACCTCTTTTTTAATCCAAAAGTTTCTTTCGTGGAGCTCTCTGAATGCCCTGGAGACAAAATGTCTCATATCCTCGCTGTCTCATTAAAATATTCCCTTGTTATTTGTTAACATTTTGTACTTGGCAGTTCCTGGTGATAAGAGTTTGTGTGCAGATGCTAATTGTATGACAGGTTTATCACCACTAAGTTTTATGCTTTACGCCATACCAGATATGATGTAGAAACTTGTTCATTCTCTTATCCATTCACTTAAATGACAGGCACTGTCTTGGATGCAAGGTGTAGGACAGTGAGGGAAGCACATTTAACGCTACCTCATTAAATTTTGTCTAGGAAGAGTAGACATCAAACAAAGGGAACACAAATAAATATATAATTATAAAGATGTTATTAAAGAAATGACAGAGTGGCAAGGGAGAATAATGTGGGGGAGAAAACCACCAGCTAAAGTTTGGTCGTAGGCTGGTCTAGTATCAGAACAAAAATCTATTAAGAAACTGAAACAAAACAAGTTACCCAATGTGAAACCAAGGACTATTGACAAACTTGAACTTGCACATCAGTGGTGAATTGGGGAGGACTCTCAGAAAGAGGTGCAGTGGCTGTATTAGTGATTCCTACCTTTGGTCACTTTTGGTTCAGGCAATTGGGAGAAGCATGACTGCGCCTGCAGGAAGCGATCCAGTAACTGTCGTGGGGAGATGGAGGGATGCTGAGCTGTGCACAGGCTGGGACTCCTCAGTCAATAGCTCAGGAGGTGGTCATGAGACAGAAAAGAAAAGAAATACAGCCCGAGGGAGCTTGGAAGCAGAGTTCTGTGGAGCCTCCAGATAATCTCTCCAGATCCTATGCAGAGACCCTGCTAAGCCATGTCCAGACGCTGGTCTCGCAAAAACTGAAGTAATAAATGTGTATTTGAATCCACTAAGTTTGTGGTATTTTAAATCTGCAATACATGTCTTCGACAGTGAAGTATGTGGAGTCACAGACATATAACATTTAACCAGATAACCAGATAAATCTAATTCTGCTAAAGAAAGTCTGAAGGCAGAAATGCCTTTTTTTTTTTTTGGGGATACATGTCTTCGACAGTGAAGTATGTGGAGTCACAGACATATAACATTTAACCAGATAACCAGATAAATCTAATTCTGCTAAAGAAAGTCTGAAGGCAGAAATGTTTTTTTTTTTTGGAGCTTATCATCTAGCAATCATACCCTGGACATAGATAAACATATCCCTCTGTCTAGGTGAGCTCTGAGGCAAATTTTTAAAGTAGAACATTGATGCCCTTGCTTGATTTGGGGTATCTTTCTCTCTCCGTATTTTATTCCCCGCCTTATCCAGGCATCAAGTAACACTATTGCACAATATTTGCAGCCATTAATGAAATTCTGAGTGATAATCTGCCTTATGTGTTTGAGTTATAAATGTCCCTTTCTTGTTATTGACAAGTATTAGGGGTTTTGTGTTAAATATGCTTATGAGACAGAGAAATGATAGAGTCAGAGCAAAACACACATATACACACCAAGGGAGATAGAGAAAAGAGAGATAGAGACAGAGTGACCAATAGAGAGAGAAAGAAGGAGAGACCTAGAAAAAACACACGGTAATGGTGGCATTGAGCACAGGTTTGGGCAAGAATGTGTGAACCGCGTTTGAAATGCAGGGAGATGATCCAGACATGTGCAGACCTCAGAAGGAGAAGTCTGCTGACTGATAAGAGGGGCAAAGTGAGTGGAGAAGGAGAAGATTAAGATGAGAGAAGGCAGGACTACATTAGGAAGCTACACTAGGCCCAGCCATCTAGGAAGCAACCT